CCAGAAAGATATAAATATTCTTTATTTCTTAAGGGACTTTCTATAATATAAGTCAGGTATCCGGATTTTAAGAAGCTTTTTTTAGTTCAAATATATTTTTAGGATATTATATAATAGCTTCTAATAAATAGTATTAAGATTATTCTCAAAGCTTATTATATTAGAAAAGAGAATGGATTCTAATTCTATTTTAGGAAGTTCCCTAATAGGAATTACTAAGGAAAATAAGATAGACTTATAAATAGAGTTTCTATAAGATATAGTAAACTATAAGATATCCCTAAGAATATTCTTATATTACTCTAACTATAGGATATATTAGTTAATTATATTTACTAATTCTTACTTTTATTAGAGTATTTTAATATTAGTATATAATCTCTATTTTATAGCTTAAGTAATAGTAACTTGGGTATTAATCTCGGTATCTTAATTATTACCGGAATTATTTCTATTATTATTACTGGCTTTTAGAGGCTCCTAAAGGACCCTATTAAAAGTATTAGACGAGCCTTTACTATTACCCGTATTGGGATTAATCTAGTCGACTTCTTCTATAGGAATAGCTCTGGTAAGGGGTTATATATTTCACAGATTTCGAGATATAATTACTTATTAAACTACTTTCCTTGAGGGTAGAGAGATTAGTTTATAAGATATTTATTAGTAGATAATAAAACAATAGAATGAATTAGTATATTATAAAACTATAGTATTAAATTCAGTATAGAACTAATCTCTATTTCTCCTATAAAGTCCAGGAAAGCCCTCTCTAAATAAGAGGCCCCGATAATATATATATAATTAGTAATTTATAAGCCTAATATATATAATATAAATAGTAGTTAGTTATAGTATTAAAGGGCCGCCGATCTCCCTAATTAATACCTGTAATATCCGAGGTTTATTACATGCCCTTAAGTTACGTGCGATCCTATATATATTATAATATTACTAAATCGAGGATTATTATATTAAGGTTCTGCTATAGAAGAATCCACTAGTTAACCGCCCATACCCCCCGACCGCCCACCCCAAAAAAATCGATTTTTAATTAATAATCGGTCTCTCTTCTCTATTTGCTTTACTTATAGTCGGGAAAACCAAATATCCCGCAAAACCAAGTATCCTATCGGCTTTTACTAGATATATTATTTTAGCCTATAAACCCTACTAAAATCTATATACTTTAGTAATATAATTGGATTATTTTTTATTAACTAATATATTAATTCTTATAACTATTCTAGTATTATAAAATTAGTATTTCTTTATATTAAGTTAATTAATTCTATATAGCTTTCTATATTAGAATTATTATATATTAGAAAAAAAGAGTTTAAATTCTCGTATTCTAGTACTTCTATATTTTCCTAAACTATAATACTTTATATAGAAATTATGATTTCTATATCAGATTTCTCTTTATTTTCTTAAACTAGTTCTTTAGAAGAAACTAGCTTTTTAAGCTTTATAATTAGTAAAATTAAGCCCGGATATCTTTTATTTATTATTAATAACTTTTTTTCTATAATTAGAGCTTTATTAGATTCGCAAATTAGAACTAGATTCTCTAGTAATAAAAGCATATCTATTTCCTAATATTTCTTAAGTTAAAAAAGCTTTATCTTATTATTTTTTCTAGCTTAAATACCTTGCTTTAATAAATTCTTTCTAGTTTTATTCTTAGCTTAAATAAGTTTCTTTTTCGCTTTTTAAAGGTTCTTAAATACTTCCTTTAAATCACGTTCCTTAATCTTAGATCTGAGCTTACTAATTAATATTATATTTTCTCTTTTGTAAATACTTTATTTAAAGTTATTTTTATACTTGTTTTTAGTAAAAAGCTTAATTTATAAATAATTATATTTAAAGAATATTAAATTAATCTTTTAAAAATAAATATTAATAGCTTTTATAATCTTTTTAAAAATTAAATGAGAATTATCTAAAAACTTTATAAGATTATAAGTATTAAGCTTAAAATCTTTAAAGCTATATCTTATATATTTAAAAATTTAAATAAAAATAAAATAAAAAGTTTAATTTTTAATTTTTTTTAACTTTATTTATTAATTTCTTTTTCTTATTATAAAAGCGAATTTCTTTAATACTAGTTTTATAACCTATAAATTATATATTATATATTAATATTTTTAAAAAAAATTCATTATTATATCATACTCTATTTAATGACTAGATAGTAAACTAGCTACTGTTTTCTGCAGCTGACTTGCCAAAATCTCGTACTGCCCTAGTATTCGCGTACCTTATAGCCAAGGCGGTACGGCGGTAGGGACCCCTGCCCTGGCTAACTTGCTATAGGAATACCAAAAAAAGCAAGTAGGTCAAGTTGTTATTTAGAGAACCGCTTCTCTTATTCTCGTTTAATATTTTCTGAGAAGGGGAGCAGAAAATGGCTGCCTACTATCCCCTGGATAACTCAAGATAGCAGCCATCTTATATCTTCGTTTATCCTCCCTCTCTTCTCTATCTTCTTTCTTCCAAACCTCTTATACTCAACCATTACTATCCCTTACTCTACCTCTCTTCTCCCCCTCCGCTCGCTGCCATTACTTGGGCAGTAGGCTCCTCCTTTATATCTTCTACCTTACTTCTTTACTTTTAATCACTCTTGCCATTATTCCCTTCAGTTAATCTAGTCCATATATATTATTACTAACTAATATTAAGCTCTTCCTCCTCTTCCTCTAGTAATAGGTCAGATATCGAGAGCTACTTTAATACAGGAGATAAGTAAGAGAAGACCGATACCGAGACCGAGCCTATAGATACCATTACTAATATTAATATAGATAACAAGGCAGACCTGCCAGATCTGGTATAGCTTGCTCGAGAGGATAATACTAATACCGTACTAATAGATATTAATACCGGTATTAACGGAGATAATAAGGCAGACCTGCTAGATCTAAAGTAAATTACTAGAGAGGAGAATATATATCTATTAGAGTACTACCTTAATTAAGAGAACAACTTTAATAAATCCGAGAATAAAGATAAGGACTATAGTAATAGTAGTCTCTTTCTCCTAGATATAATTAAGGACTAGTTTAATTAGTATATACCCTATTTCCTTCTTGCCTACTATCTTCTACTATTAAATTACTAAACTAACTCTTTTTAAAGATATTATAAATATATATAAAAGAATTCTGCCCGGATAATATAGGCTATCTCTTGCCACATACTTAAGGCCTTCTTTAAATAGATATTAAATTAATATTAGGAAAAGAGTAAAAGAAGACTTATAGGTATTAAGTCGGCTAGTATATTTAGGATATACTAGAAGGTTTTCCGGCTCGTATATAAACAAGTAACTAGGGAAAAGATTAAGGGAAAGCTAAACTATTAAATATATTAGATAAGTAGTATATCTTATCTAGCTACTTAATCTAGTTTAAATAATTATAGATAAGAGACTAATATAATATCCTTATTATAGGTTCTTAGGAAGCTAGTAAAAAAGTACCGTCTATTAATAAAGAAATACAAGAAAACGGCTATATATATTAAGGGTCTTATAGAATACCTCTAGACTAACCTAACTATAATAAAGAAGCGGTTTATATATAGCCGGTAATATATCTAGCTTGCTCTATTTTACTAGCTTACTAGGTTTTCCGGAAACCGCTTTTTGGTACTTCTCAAGCTCTACTATTATAATATTATTATAATCCTATTTCGGAACTCTAATAGCGGCCTTTATTAGATCTTAATAAAATTTACCTGCAAGTTTATAAAGTAATTTCTCGGTATAAAGAATATATAAGTTTTTTAGCCTATTATTTTCCTATATCTTTCTCTTATTTATATCCGGTTTAAATACTACTTATATATACTTTAAGATTAAATTTATTCTTCCCGAGATTATCTTTAATTTCTTTCTTATTCTAAGCCCGTATATCTTTTTCTTAGGCCTTATTTTTACTAATAGGGTATTTGCGGCTTCAAATCTCAGGTCTATTATATAATTAAGTAAACTAGATATCTGACCTAGCTATTAATAACTAGAATTACTTTTTAAACCAAATATATTTAATATCCCTATTTTTAGGAAGTTAGTTAAGATAGGATATAATTATAAGATCTTACTATATAAGCCCCTAACCTATATAACCCTCTTATTACTAATAAAGATTATTAGCCTTATACTTGAGTTCCTATAGCCTATATACCCGTATTATCTCTATTATAATACTACTAATAAATTTAATTAAAGTAATAAGTATTATATATTCCCATACCTATATTTATAGTTAAGAGCTAATAACTCCTATATAAGTAATATAACTAATACTCTCTAGAATATAATACTATAATATATAAGTATTAATACTTTTATTAAATACTATTTCCTAAGGCAGTCCGGTAATATCCGGGCTATTATATCTAGCTATAAGTTCTAGAAGAACCTAATATAGGCTGCCTTTCGAATAATATAATAGATTAATTCCGGTTGCCTGCAGGCCCTTATAATTAAGTAGTTCTAGTCTATAGATAAATACTGCCGAGTCTACTAGCTTCTTATATATAGTACGAGGTGAAACTACTACTATAAGAGTATAGTAACGAGACAGTCCGGGTACCGAAGTCTAAGTAGCGAGATTATTAATCTGGGGCAGTAATTAAGGGCTATATTACTCAAGTAACTCTAAGATAAGTAGGATATAGAATACCCTATAAATGAGGTTAAGCTATAGCTTACTAGGCTTAAGTTCTATAATAACCCTGGTACTAGTATATCTATAGTTAATAAGATGCCCCTAATATAGAAGTACTTGGCCGCAATAGTTATAACCTTACTAGGGACGACTATAAAAGAAAAATTCTACCGGTATAATACTATAATTAGTACTATTACTACCTATTACTATTTCTAAGAAAGCGGAGCTATTACTATACTATATAAGAGGCTATCTATATAAAAGGCGAGTCTAATACCGGTAAAGGAGATTAACCTATAGCTAGTAGTTACTAAGGTCGAGAAGCAAGTATTAAGGAATACTATACTATTAGTATTTATAGAGAAGAGGACTACTACCTGCTTCCTTTACTTAGGGAAGCAGAGCTTGCTATTCGAAAAGCGCACCTATAAGTTTACTAAGCCAGGGAACTTAATAAAGTATTTCAAGTAGAAGTATCTAGCCAATATTAAAAAAGGAGATCTACTTAAGTATAAGGTCTATTAAATATCTCTCGAGTATAAGATACATCTTCAGAATTATATAGAGTATATCTATAGGACTATATTATAATACTTTAGTAATGTACTAAAAGTATATAGCTATATGGCTCGACTTTTTATTTCTTTCTTTCTCTCCCTATTATTAGATATTTGGGTATAAATTAGCAGTAGTACTATATATCTTTTATTAGTCCAAATATATAACCTTGGATTTCTATAATTCTCTCTTCTTATCTTTATATACTTATATATTTATTTACTAATTATAAAAGTCACATAAATAGGAGATTTGGCAAGTCAAGTAATCTGTGACCAACGAGTTCGTCAAGGATTATGAGGGCACACTAACGCAATAGGGGAAGCATACTTAGATGCATATACCGACTTGTAGTAAGTTGGGTGACCTCCGCCCGAGATATGGTAGTACGAGGGCAAGCCCGAGAAAGAATTCTCAATATTTGCCTGAGCCAGGCAATCTTATTCGTAATATCGGAGCGATATTAGGTTATATCGGATATATCTTACTTTTAGGGTACTTTGAAGTCATCTCGTCTCTATAGCGTCTTGTGTTTATATGAGACCATTTATAATAATTAATATAATATATTTTAAGGGTATTTATTTAATTATTACACTTGATTCCGTCCTTTAATTATCTGACTATAATTTACAAACATTAGCTCTGTCATTACAATCTCTATCTACTACCCCTCTTCCGCCCTGACTTTTGCTCTACCCGCTCTAGTCTAGTACAATGCTTGAGATTTCTACGCCCCGCTTCTATATCATGCGGAAGCAGGTTCACTGGTACCGGGTATAACAGTTACTAACTCCCCGTTAGTTGCGCCCTTTGCAACCTTCGTTAAGGACTTCTGCCCGAGGATTAGCTAACCCCATCCAACCCCTTATTCCACAACTCTCCAGATCAGCCATTTCTTGAGCTTCCCAATCAGTGAGATCCGACTCTTCCCTTCTCACCCCCCAAGTCTCAAAATCTGGACAGAAGAGGTCATTTATTCTGGCCGCCCATAACTTCCTCTACTCTCTCCTAAACTCTTGAGGAGTTTTGTGTCTCCAGGGGTCAAAAGCGGGTTAAAGTCAACTAATATTAAGCGTATAGTCTTATTAGAAGTATATAAGAAGGTTATTCTTTCCAGTAGTAATAGTCAGACTATAAGCAGTACAATTAAATTCATCTATTTTAGACTTGTAGTCGATTATAAGTTATTTCTCGATAGTTTATAACTCTCTAGAAATGCAATAGCCCCAAACCTGACCTAGAAAAAACTCAAATATCTGCTTTATTATAAATAATAATGGATCCATACCTAGAGAAGCAAGGCTTACTATAATAGTAGAAAGAGAGAAAGTATTATAATTACAAGGTAATTCTCCGCGATATTTATTAAGATTCAGTAGCCGTTTCGATCCGTTTAAGGATAGTAAGGTTTTAAATAGCCTACTTTATAGAAGGTTAGGCTAAGTCCATTGACCGAATATGGACCCTACTAGTACTTCTACCTAGATAAGTATCTCGGTCTCATATATCGGTTTAGGTTAAAGGTCACTTTTAAGGTATAAAGAATTATAATTAATATAGGACCTGCTTAATAATCTCTAAGGATTAATTAAAAGAATAGTAACTTGTTTCTTTCTTTTATAGAAACATTAACTAGTAATATTAAATATACGAAATAAGTCTATAGTTATAGAAATAAATAAAATAAGGTTCCGGCCTTTCCGGTTAGTATACTATTCTATATTAATCTTTATAATATCTCTTATAATATTCTATAAGCCTCGAGGCAAATATAACCTTAATTAAAGGCTGCTATTAGATACTAGTACCGGTAAAGTTAAGTTAGTTACTCTATATAATATTAAATATGAAAATATATTTACCGGAATCTATTAGTATAATTTAAAAAGCTTTAGTAAAGGGTTAATATATCTATTTAAAAGTTTTATATTAAGACTTACTAAGTAATAGCTACTATTATTATTACTTTTATCTCCTATTACCGGTAAACTATTTATCTCTGGTCTGAGAGATAGGTCTCTAAATATATCCTCGAGAGACTAGAAATTAGGTAAATATATATTATTTAATCCTATATAATTATAAGTAGGTTACTAGAAATATAGTCTAAGTAAGCTATAACTTGCTAGTAAAAGTTATGCCCCTAACTTAATTAGTAAATATCAGAAAAGGGAAATACCTAGTCTTAATAATATAAGAGTACTTTTGGGAAAGTGGAACTAGTATCTGGAAATTAATAACTTTGAAATATATAATTTAGAGTTAGTTTTCTAGAATATTTCATTAGGCCCTATATAATTATTAGATATAATACTAATACTTTTATATAATATAGCAGAAATAATACTAATAACCGGTAATATAGAAAATTATAGGGAAATTAAATATAGAAAGAAGAAAGAAAAGGCAGGAATTAGTAATAAGACTAGCTATAGAGGATTAGTATATATAAAATATAGGTCAAAAATAAAATTATTAAGAGTTATAAACTAAAGCCAATTTCGAATTTATTATACTAATAGTCTTTTAGTACTAACTTAACTTTTATACTAGTTATTTCCTAGTACTAAGAGTTAATATATTTATATAATCTCAATTTATCTTATAACTCTATATATCTTCCTTAATATAAATATTAAATAATTATTATTATTAGAATAATACTTCTAATTATAATAATTATAGGTAATAGACTAGAAGCTAGTATTTAAATAATACTATTTAAAGATAAATAATTTATAATTATAATTATTTAGATAATAATAATACTATTAATATTAAGAGAATAATCTTATTTAATTATATATACTAGACTATAGAATAAGGCTTTTATTTTATATATAAAATAGTATCTATTTATTTCTATAATAGTTTCTATAAATAATATACTAAATAATAAAGAATAAGAAAAAAGAAAATATTAATTAGAAAGTTTATTAATTAGAGAAGTATTCTGGATTTAAGATAGTTCTATTTATTTACTAGTAAGATAAAATTACTATATACTAGTTAATAAACTATAAGTTTTAGTAGCTAGTAATAGTAAAAATAATATATATAACTTATATAAATTAAATCTATAACTAATAAATAATATCTAGAAATTTATATATCCGGTTCCAAAAAAATTATTACTATATTATCTTAAGAAGTAGATTTATTAGAAGTATTTAGGATAGAGGATTTAGTAATAATTGTCTTATAGGAGTATTATAATAATATAGAATAAAAATAAAATAGAAGTCGAAATATTTATAGTTATAGAATAGAATAAATATAGGAAAATATATACTAAAATCTAATATATATATACTTTTATTATATTATAAGATTTAATTCTATTTTAAATACTATATAAAAACCAAGAAATATATAAATACTAAGTAATATATAGAAATTAAGTAATATATAAAACCCAAGTAATATATAGAAACCAAGTAGTATATAAAAACTAAGAAGTATATAAATACTAATTAGTATATATATATCAAGTATTTTTAGTAGACCGGCTCTTTTATAGAAATAGTAAGAGTTTAGAACTAGCTAGATAGGTTAAGGCTTAATAAATAAGTAAGTTTAGGTTATAATATAATATTATTTCTCTAATAAGGCCTAATATAGTTATAATAAAATATAATAGAGCTTTAGTATATAAGAAAAAAAAGTATTTATTAGTTATTTATACTAATACTATAATTATAATTTAGCTCTTAATCTATAAGAACTAATAAAGATTTATTAATAGTATATAGGCTAATATAAACTTATATACTAGTATAAGAATTATAGATAATATAAGAATTCAAGCTAGTATAAGAATTAAGGCTAGTAAGAATATATAGGCTAGTAGAAGTATATAGACTTATATAAGACTTTAAGCTTTTATAAGCTTATATATTAGTATAAGAGTTATAAGTAATATAAGAATTAGTACTAGTATAATTTTATATTCTAATTTCCTAGAATCCGAAATAGTCTTAGGAACTAGTAAGGAACTAATAGTACTTCTATTAGAATTAATATTAGACTAAATAGAGAAATTATTAAAGATATTAAAGTTTATATAATACTATTCTAAAGAATTTCTAAAAAACCTTTTTTTATAATATATTTCAGGTATATATAATAGAAGTTTATATATATTATATTTATATACCTTATATTCTAGTTTAGTAATATACTTGTATTTATATATCTATTAATTATTATACTATTAAATAGTATATACTAAATTATAAAAGAGAGAAAAAAGAAAAAGAAAAAAAAGAAAAAGAAAAAAAAAAGAAAAAGAAAAAAAAAAGAAAAAGAAAAAGAAAAAGAAAGAAGAAGAAGAAGAAGAAGAAAAAAAAAAAGAAGAAAAAAAAAACCTAAAGATTCTTACTATTCTAGATTAGATTAGAATAGTAATAGAATAATAAGGATACGAATAGTAGATAATATTTAAATATAGATAAGAATAGGTAAGGAAGCTTAGAGTTTAGTATTAAGGTATTATCTATATCTGGCTAGTATAAGAATAGAAAACTAAAAAGTATAAATTATTTAATTTAATTTATACTTTTATTATATTTCCCGAAATTCATATATAAGTTATTAATTATCTATTATTTACTATATTAGCTATAAATAGATAATAATTTAAAAGAAAATAAGATTAAGTAATAAGATACTATTTATTAATTTAGAGTTCGAATTAGACTTATACTTAGATATAAATAAAATTAAAAATTATTTCTTTTACTAATCTATTTTTCTTTATAATTCTTCTAATATCTTATTAGATAATTAATTATTTATACTAATATATTAAAACCTACTCTATTACTTATAATAAAGTTATAGTAGCTATTTAAAATATCTTATAGCCTAACTTACTAATTCCTGCTTCTATATCTTATCTTATCTCTATATCTAGTAAATAGACTTCTATTTCTCTATTTCCTTAATATATTATATAGAAAAAAGAGCCTAATACTCGTAATTAGGCTAACTAATATAAGAATAACTTTATTAACTCTTATAATTAAAGTTTACTAGATATTTATAATTAGTATAAGAACTTCGTTAATTCCTATAATTAAAGCCTACTAGTTTCTATATAAAAGCCTAATTATAGAGATTAACTTTTGAATTAAATATATATCGAGAATATAAATAACTTTAGAAACAAGTAAATATATAATAATTTTTAGTATTTAGTAAATCTCGATATTTAGCCTCTATCTAATTATAATAATAATATAAATAGTTAGAATACTTCCGGAAATAGGTAGTTTTCCGGATAAACTATTATCTCTTTAATTCGGTACTAGCTAAATATAATATAATATATCTCTAAATATAAGTAAAACTTTAAAGATAATAAAGCTTTAAAATATATATATATTAAGCTTATAAATATAACTAAAAGCAGTTCCAAAAGTAGTAGTACTAAATACCTAATAAAATAAATATATAAAGAATTTACTTAGAGGTATTATATACTTATTTCTTTATTATTATAGATATTAAATATTTGAAATATAGTAAATAATATTCTTATAAAGTTATTTAGGACTAGTAATAGCTATAATCTGAATAAGAATAGAATAATAATTCTTTTTTATATTAAGAATCTTAGAACTAACTATTTTAATACTTATACTATTATAATTTAGAAAAATCTAAAAGCTAAATACTATTACTAAAAGTATTTAGAAATACAAAATATAATACTTTTTATCTAGTCTATTATTTGGGAATATCTTACTCGAAAGTATATATAAAAGGCTTATAAGATCCGAGCTATTACTATAATATAAAGAAAATAATATAATTATAAGTAGTATTATAGCTTTAATATAATTCATAAAAGTATTATTCTTATATAAGCTATAGTAAAGGGCTTTTTATAAAGAAAGAAGATTATAAATACCTATATTAGAAGAATTATAATATTAATTTAAAGAATATAATACTTAAGGAAATAAATAAAAAGTTAGAAATAGTATTAGTATAA